TAAGATTGCAAGGATTTGTTTGAAAAATGATTAACAGTTGAAAACATTCATTAGAAATTTGGAAAAGTAATCAAAATGTCCAAATGTAATCAGTTTTTTGTATCAATAAAAATTAGGCAAAAATCGTTTGTATTGTATTGTATGAATCTCATTCACTACTGTAATAAGGAAAATCTCATACACTAGTGTAAAAGGGAAAAAGATCAATTACATATTAATTATGATGATTTTTAATAATAATAATAATTATTATTATTGTTGTTGTTATAAAACAGTGACATGTTCCAGACATGGTTTTACGTTACTGAATTAAATACAATTTTATATAATTAATATTTTATTATAAACAATATTTAAAATTGAAAATACACCAATGTAATAATATATTATAATTTACCCAATATTTTACGCTATTATTAGTACTTATTAGTGTAGCTACAGTATTAGTGTATATAGTCATTGGTTTAACAGCATGCTAACATCATGTACTCATTTAAACTGTGATTGTTAGTTGATGCTGAACACTTTTTTGTGTGCTACACAAATAAGCATTAATGTCGCCCTCAAAATTTGTTTTGAAACAGTCTGCTTCTATTATGAGTTTCTATCATGCTTAGAAATTAGCTGACTATGTAGATAGCAGACAGTGAGGCAGCTCACTAGCTTTTGGAATGGAGCTAACAGAGCTTATGTTGAATTAGTATTCAAATAAGTTTCATGAAATTGCCGGACGCCTTCGAAAGTTTACGCCAAGATCACAATCTCTCAATACCACAATCAACTGTCCACACCATTGTGCAATCTGCCATCTCAGGTAAACACCCGCCAGGTGTCACTTAATCCCGCTTGTGACGCCAACCAGACCTTGTCCCTTTAGGGGTGACCTCCTCGAGGCCATTGTGTCACATCCTTGTCCCTCAGAGAGCTCCCCAACAAGAATCACGGAGGGGGGGGGGGGGGGTTTTAAATTGGAATTACTGTATTAGTATTAACCAATCAGCATCCAGGATCTGTTTTCAGAAAAAACCTTCTTCTTCTCAATCATCCAATAGTAAAACAGTTAAAATCATTAAAATCAAAGCCACCTTGTCACATTGTGATCTCACAGAAGACCACACTATAACAATAATAGCGGATAAGAAACGCAAAAAAACAGAGCTTTTCATTGTCCCTTGAGCTCACGCAAGTTTTTCTCAGTTTCTGCAATCTTCAGATATCTGCCAGTACGCCTTTCTGATCGCAAAGAATTGAACAGATGGTCCAAAACTAAATCCGCCTTTGGGTTTTACACTGTTTACCTTTAGCTGTTTACCTCAGCTGGTACTGTTTTGTCAAGAATACTTTGAGATCCGGGCCAGTGTTGAAACCTTGAAGTTTCTAAAGTGCTGGTGTAAGACTGACAATAAACCATGTGTTAAGAAAGCAACAGAGCAATGGCAGACGAGGGAGCATTTTAGAAACCTGTTTGGAAACAATCACTATTTCTGCTGTTGCGTTTATCGCTGCCGCACTGTCGCAAGATTTGTTTTTGTTTTTACAGCCTACGTTGTCTCAAGTTTTTTTGCTTTTTGGAGCTTAATGAAAGACTTATTTTCTCCCATTTGATTTGTCTCCTCAAAGAGATACTTAATATCTCAGAACCGCCTGGAGAAGCTGAAGCTCGTGTCACTGAACGCACACTGACACTTCCACAAACTCAGTTAATAGACGTTTTGACACGTCAGAATGATGGACTCCTTGAATGCGCTGACCTCTCTCCTCCGGACGCCCCTTTCACCCTACCTCTCTCCTTTCAGTCCTTCATCTCTCCATTTCCACCCATGTAGATGAGGCAGAGATAGATGAAGATATTTCTGATGGGCAGCCATTTCATAGCAACACACCAAATGAGTTCTGGCTGCCCCGGCCCACCCTCCTTTGCAGGAGATGAATCCTTGCCGACCATGTCGTGTGTGTTGAGGAGGTTATTATTTGGAGACAAAATTGAGTTTACTTACTGTAGCTAAGTCTGATAAAACCTCCCTTTGGGAACATACTTAGAATTTTATATATATATATATATATATATATATATATTAGCTTTTATTTTTCCATTTTTCAGTTTTCATTTTAATTTCAGTTTACAGTTTAGTCATTTTGTTAGTTAGTTGTTTTGTATTTTTTATTAAGATTTTAGATTAACTTTATTTTTTAATTTCGTAGTTTTAGTAATCTTAGTACTTCAGCATTTTATTTCAGTTCATGGCAACATTTCTTATTTATTGTACATTTTTTAATGTAAAATATTTTTTTTATTTTCAGCTTTTTAATAGTTTTATTTTACTATATATACTATAAAAATAAAATATATTATATTAGGGGTGTAACAGTTCACAGAATTCACGGTTCGATACGACACAGTGGTGTCACGGTTCGGTTCGGTACGTTCTGTACAGGGGTAATTGGTTATGTCGCAATGCTGGAAATATTTCAGTTTTAAACCATGAAGGCGAGCCAATGGATATCACATACAAGCAACGACTTAATCTCAGGCAATTCACTATACAGAAAGTGAAAGTAAAAACAGAATGACGGAGTAATGATGGAGCTTTCGGCATCTGACGCCACATATTCTTTCAGAGACAATGAGAGACGAATTTACTTCAACATGATAACGATATAGCTAACGGTTTTAATTTATTCCCTTAATATTTCTCTTGTGGCCCGTAGCCTACATAGTGAAAAAAAAATGAGAAGAAACATATTTCGCGTTAAACAGGTTGTTTTTGAAAGTCAGTGCTTGAAATAAAAGCTTTTTATTTCATTGATTTTTATTGATGACTGCAGTGTTAATATTTTAATTGTAGCCCTATAATTCATTGTATAATAGACCTGTTTAAAAAAAATGTTTTTTTGATTAATTAATTGAGGAGTAAATAGCCTAATCTTTTGTTATCCTCGCAACGTGTCAGTTATGCGGTAGCTAATATTGCGGGGCAAATTAATTGTAATTTTAATTTAATAATAAAAGTAACTACATAATAATAATAATAATAATAGGCCTAATAAAAATAAGAATGAAACATGCCTACATTAATTGGAAATGCCAAATATCTTAATATTGCCAACAATTGATGTTTTTGACAATATCTCTGGCTATCGTCGATACAAGATCATCGTCTTTCGACGCACCCCAGCAAGAAGAGGTTATCGCGGGGCCTTTCGCAGTGCGTGTCCTGCGTGCCCGTCCGCTAACGTTACGCCACTGGGCAGACAACACGCTGCCTGTTATGTTGTTTGGGCTGCCTTGTTGAGCGCAGTGGCACTGAGAACATTATATCTCCCACACTTTAAGCTGTTTTATTTTCAAAATGTAATAGGATTAGTCCAACGAATCAAATCGTTCAGTTTGTAATGCGTACCCAAACGAAAGCCTCATACCGAACGGTTCAATGCGAATACGTGTATCGTTACACCCCTTATATATACAGTGGGGCAAAAAAGTATTTAGTCAGCCAATATACACACACACACGCACTAAAAAGCTGAAGATAAATTTATATATATCATTCATTTAGTTTTATTTTTAATTTTCCGTTTTCTTTTTCATTTCAGTTTACCGTTTAGTCATTTTGTTAGGTGCTTTTGTCATTTTTATATTTTTTATTTTTTATTAAGATTTTTGTAGTTTTTTTTGTTGTAATTTTTGTTTAGCTAGTTTTAGTAATCTTAGTCCTTCAGCATAAATGTATTTCAGTTCAAGGCAACATTTCTCATTCATTTAAAAAAATTTTCTTGTAAAATTTATATTGTATTTTCAGCTTTTTAATAGTCTTATTTTACTATATATGACATAAAAATGAGTGTGTGTGTGTGTGTGTGTGTGTACTTATTTATGCTACATTGAAACCTGAAATATTATTTATTTTTTTTCTGAAATATATATATATATTTTTTACCTTGTGGGGACCGCAGGCAGTTCCTCACAATGTCAAAAAAAAAAAAAGAGTAAATTATGTTTATCTGAAAGTGTAACAATGCAAAAAAGTTTTCTGTAAGGGGTAGGTTTAGGGTTAGGGGATAGACAATATCGTTTGGTCAGTATAAAAATAATAGAAGTCTATGGAAAGTCCCCACAATTCACAGAAACAAACGTGTGTGTGTGTAAACTTTTCTTCACTGTGGAATCTTCAAAGGAGTTTGTATTGTATTATTTTCATTAGCTATTTATGGTTACTTGCAATCTATTTGATGTTTTCGCTGTGACTTACTCTTTGAGAACTTCCTGCCAATGCATTTTTTCTTCATCACACAGTGGCACAATTGTAAGTTCGCACATACAAAGAGATCTATTACTACTTGGACTGTAAAGTGTAAATTTTACATAAAGTGAAGTCGAGCTCTCACACATCTGCTCCACTTACACAAATCAACTGTTCGTTGTATATGGAAGTCAATGATTGTTCATTGTGAGGAACACCATTCTATAGTGCTTACCTGACTTCTCACTTCAATAGTAAGTGACTCTTGAATGAAGCAGTAGCACTGATGCACAAAGCCCGGTATGTATTCAGGACATGCTGCTCACAGGCCTAATGTCTTAGACTCGATGCGTATTACGAGGTGCCCCCAGATTTATAGGCACACAGAGACCCCACCAATTGGGGACTGAGCCCACTGGGATGGGAGGCAAAGATTGTGCTCATCCCTACCCATACTATCGTAGCATCTAAGCACAAGTCGGCCATAAATTTGAGGAATTTATTCCATGGTGGTGTGTGTCTTTTTTTCTGGGGGATAAAAGATTTTAAAAATATAGCTTGTACTATATTGATGTTCAGTGAAATATTAGCTTGTGCGATGGATTGTTGTATTTCTTTTGGCTGGACAGTTGAATAGAAGAGTGGCACCCAGTTTGATAAGCATTTTACAATTTGCGTTTGGTGTTTATTTGTATCATCTTGCAAATTTTAACCACAAATCTTTTTGTTTGCCACCTTCCTTTTCATGTGACTTCACAGGGCATCTGTCCCTCCCCTGTGTCCACGACAACTTAAATGAAGACCTGCGATGTCCTGACACTGGTGTCCACCTCTCTGGACAGGTAAGACCTCACGCCACTTCTGTGCCCATCTATCAATAAGGATCCAAGGTTATTTGACATCTGAAACGAAAATCAATTTGCTTCCTGTACAGTGACACGAAAATCATACCAAACCCTTTGCTCGAGCTCAGAAATGTGTACAAGTGTCAATAGGTAATATATTGTTCTTATTTTTGGTTCTTATCAAGCAATTATGATTAAGTTACAGTGAAATTCAATTTAAAATGTTATTACAGTAAGACTACCCTTTCAAAAAATTAGCTTGTAGCGGTGTTTTGTTTTTTTAGCAAATCTTTTAAATGAACAAATCTTTCTGCAGTTTCTCTTTTTTTTTGTTTTTTTTAAAGTGCCAATTTTAATACCAAAAAAATAATTTAACAAATGAGTTTAGTGGTTGATTCAGTGACTCGCACATAAATAAATAAATGACAAACAAATGTTTTAAATGAACGAGTTGTTCTTAAGTTCCTCCCTTTTTAAAGAATTTACAAATATTAATACAAAAAACAACAACAATAATGAATTGGTTTAGTGAACGATTCAGCGACTTGCTCGTAACTAAATTAGAAACAAATCTTGTGAATGAATCATTGTAAAGTTCCTCTCTTTTTTGAAAAAGTGCCAATTTTAATCCCCCCCCCCCAAATATATATATATATATATATATATATAATTAATAAATAAAAATAATGATTTGGTTTAGTGAATGATTTAGTGACTTGCTCATAACTAAAAAACAAATATTTTTAAGTGAATGAATCATTCTAGAGTTTCTCCTTTTTTTTTTTTTTTAAAGTACCAATTTTAATACCAAAAATAAATAAGTAGATAAATAAATCTTTTAAGTAAATAAGTTGTTCTAAAGGTTCTCTCTTTTTAAAAATGTTCCAATTTTAATACCAAAAATGAATGAATGAATGAATGAACGAATGAACGAACGAACGAACGAAAGAATTGGTTTAGTGAATGATTCAGTGACTTGCTCATAACTAAATAAAACAAACATTTTAAGTAAACGAATTGTTCTTGAGTTCCTCCCTTTTTTAAAAATACCAATTTTAATACCAAAAATATAAATAAATAAAAACATGTCATGAATGTTTATTGAATGATTTAATAATTTGCTCATGACGTACACAACAGCTATGACGTGCTGTAAACTTGCAGAAAGAGTCAATGAATCAAGGAACAAATCTGAACAAATCAAAAGAGGAACTAAATTGAATCAAAATCCTCACTACTTTATAAATATACTATATAAAATGTCTTTTTTTTAATAAAATATTTTGTATAAAATATATCATCTGATTACAGTATGTAAAACAAACAGTATTTTATAGTTCATAAGTAGCATTTTAGTTATTCTTCAACATTGTTGGCAACCTGTTATTGATTTGAAGTGTCTTAAAATCACTGGGAAGGTAAAAAAAAAAAAATTATAATATTGTAACTGAGAATCATCTTCACTTAAAAACATGGTCAGAAGAAGCAGAGTGATGATCAAAGACATCAGCCCTCTGGTGGCCAACAAAAAAATCATGTCCCTATCTGTTGTGTCAGACTGGTAGTTTCGTTATTACACTTTAAACTTCTGATTGCATTTCATAAAATGACTTCCCTCTCATTATATCATACTTGAGCTTCACATATTTTGTGTTCGTTTGGGTGGTCTCTGTCGGATCTGAGAGATAATGTGTTCTGATCATTGCTTTTCCCTTTTTGTTAACTGTAAACAGAAATCTAATTCTAGAATATACATAATTTTATTCACACTTGAGGCTTCACATGGAAATTTCCAGATTCCCCGTGGTGTGAATCAATTTGAAGTGTACACAGTGCATGAGGCACGGTCAAGGTCACAGGCCTGGGCGCGCACACGCCGGTTCCTGCTTTGAGAAGTGAGGAGAGGAGGGCGGGGCTTACTGAGAATTGGCAGTTTGGTGTGAACCGGCATTGTGTCATAGTGTGACACATCCCATGATGCAAGAGTCATGATCACTCTCAGCTGTGAGACGGCAGTCTGTTCACACTCTTACCCGGTCAGATCCTCTCTGACATCTGACTCTCAAAACCTCTTTGCTGTTTCAGCTCTTTAGGTTGTTTGTTTTGCTTTGTGTTTTGTTTGTTGATTGTTTTTTTTCCATTCAGGTTTGCCAAACTGTCCACCTTAGATAATGTTGCATAGTTGGGGTGCTAAAAAAAGTGTTTTGTGTGTTTTATTTTATTTTATTTTTCAAACAGTTTTACTCCTTAATTTATTATTGATTTTGGTTTTGTTTGTTTTGCCTTTTTTTTTTTTTAACACTTCACCCTTTAGCTAATATCGCTGTCAGAATGCTCAAGAAGAGAAATTAATTTTTCTTTCTGTCTGTCTGTCTTTCTTTCTTTCTTTCTGTCTCTCTGTCTTTCTTTTTTTCTTTCTTTCTGTCTTTCTGTCTCTCTGTCTTTCTTTCTTTCTTTCTTTCTTTCTTTCTTTCTTTCTTTCTTTCTTTCTTTCTTTCTGTCTGTCTGTCTGTCTGTCTGTCTCTCTTTCCTTCCTTTCTTCCTTCCTTCCTTCCTTCCTTCCTTTCCTTCCTTCCAAACAAAAAACAAACAGGTTTTTCAGACACTTTGTGGTTTTGGGATGCTGAGAAATTATATTATTTTGTTTTGTTTTAAGTTTAATTTTACTTTGTTTGTATTTTATTATTTTTTATTTTATTTATTTGTTTAGTTTATTTTTTGTCTTTCTTTCTTTCTTTCTTTCTTTCTTTCTTTCTTTCTTTCTTTCTTTCTTTCTTTCTGTCTGTCTGTCTGTCTGTCTGTCTCTCTTTCCTTCCTTTCTTCCTTCCTTCCTTCCTTCCAAACATTCCTTCCTTCCAAACAAAAAACAAACAGGTTTTTCAGACACTTTGTGGTTTTGGGATGCTGAGAAATTATATTATTTTGTTTTGTTTTAAGTTTAATTTTACTTTGTTTGTATTTTATTATTTTTTATTTTATTTATTTGTTTAGTTTATTTTTCGTCAAGCATGTTTCACCCCTTTGCTAATGTTGCTGTGTCGGGATGCTCAAAATGTTATTTCATTTCATTTACCCCCCCCCCTCTCTTTTTTTTCCATTTTTATTTATTTATTCCCCCCCCTCTCGTCCTTACTGCACTGTACCAGGTGGCCCAGTCAGCAACCCCTGAACATGGACTGCAGCCCTTCTAGAACCTTTATGAACTTCCACCTGTGTGTCAATCACTAAGTGAGTGGCAGGGCTTCCTGTTTTGGCCATGTGAGGTTACACATCCTGGCAGGGGAGCTGCTGTCAGCCACAGGACCTCGTGCTGGTCGTGTCTCCCACACACACACACTTTTGTTCAGCCCCACAGGGATCTCCTGACTTGCGGGCTCTCGACACACCAGCAGAGGTGCTGCACTGATTCCTGTTTTACTTCACACCTGCACGGTGCTGTCAGGACTTCTTTCCCAGCCACACGAGGGGTCAATCACGCTTCAGTCAAAGCTAATTAAACATTTTTTGTGCCAAAAGAAAAAAAAAATTAATCCCTGATAGAGAGGAGAAACTGCAGAATGACAAGAATGAAGCGTTTGTCAGTAAACACCTGAATAACTGCTAGTCTCAAGAATATTTTTAAATTAAAATATTGTCCTTGTTTGTTGTTTCTCCTTCACATATATTGCATTTTGGGGCTCTTACGTTTAATCTGGCTACATGTTTTAATCATTTTGCATGTGGCATTTAAATCAGATGCCATACCTTAGATTTTGAAACCTTATATTTGGAAGTTTTCCCAATTTTATTCATAGCAGAGTGGAGACTGGACAGGATAAGCTGTGGGAATGGGATTAGAAGACATAGTTGTTGTTTTGTTTTTTTTGTTTTTTTTAAATCGAATCGTTTTAATATCTAGATTAAGTGACTAGATGCTCTCCAGCTTTTAAACATCATCTTTGGAAAAGGTTCTTTGCTCAAAATGTGCTCATTTACTGAAATTTTGCAAGCTACGACAGTGTGCATGACATTGTTTATCATTTGGAAGTTTATTTCAAATAAAGCATCCTGAAAACAGTCAGTCTTAAATGTCCTGGAAATCCTGAGATGTGAAAAACAAGTCAAGTGATCAGCAGTGTGATCATATATGACTGATTGACTTCACAGCTCTGCTCTTAATCCAAATGCTGTGGAGCATAACTGACCAGTTAACCCATTTTAAATGGCATTTGACTGGATCAGTGAGGCCTAGCTCCTCAAAGACTTGCTAAAGAGTTTCTTTCCTCTAAAGATCAGATTACTGCTGTTGCTGATGAGTGATAGTAGTTAACATGGACCGGCACTGCCTCTTTTTCAATTTTTCAACCCTATTTTCCTTGAGCAACATGTAATACATTTTTTAATTGTTTAAATATACGTATAGATCCATTTTATATATTAATGGATTAAACATTTTTTCTGTGTTTTTATTCATTTTTAATATACATTTATATGTATTTTTATATGTGTATGTGTATATTCATTTTTTATTTATTTTATCTACACACACACACGCGCACACACACACATTTATATATATATATATATATATATATATATATATATTGGATCTGTATTTATATTTGTAAATTAATGTTTATGGATCTGTTGTTTTTTTTGATCAGTTACTTTTTTTATTCAATTTTAATTTACATGTATTTTTATATGTATATGTGCATATATTTTTTTTATAAATATTTGAATATATATAGAAATATTTGAAATATATATATGTGCCTATATATATATATGAAGAGTTCATTTGCAAAAACAGATAAGTCCATTTTTATTATTTTCATAAATTGTTTTTTTTTTATTGTGCATTCCAAATAATATCAATCAAACTGCAGTTGGGTTGTTTTGATTAGGTATTAATAACTCAAACAAATACAGGTAACTTACAGAATTAAAGTTCACTGAAAGTATGTTTTTTATATATATATATTAAAAGTTTGTTTTATAGCAAAAGCAGATAACTC